AGACACGAAGCACCCAGAGAGAAGGCAGGGCGTGAATGTGTATGAGTGCTAACTGTCGTACGCCACGCCGGCTACTGACATAAACCACTCTTGGGCCTCACGGCGATCCGGAGCTGTAGGCATTTCCAGGTAGGAAAGACAAGTCTCAGGAGTAATTAAGTAACTTGCCCAAAGCCTCAAAGCACACGCGTGGCAGATCCTGGCCTGCAGCTAGACCAGTGTGCTTGGAAGACCATGCCTTTTCTAAGATGCTCCGCTGTGTCCCTCCCACCTTCTGTGCTGAGGGGACACCTACATGGCAAGGTGACCACTTAAGTCTAGATCTTAAGTATAAGACTCAGGTCACCTCAAGCAATGAAGAATGTGCTCTCTCCAGTCTTACAGAAATGAGGAACCAGTGATCTCAGCCTCATGGTCAAGTCTCAGAGAAGCCCGGAAAAGCAGGACACCCAGGTTAAGGGGATTGGAATGAGAAAGTCACCTAGATGTCAAGACCGTTCTGGAAGCTCAGCTGGTGGAGTTTCTGGGTCATCAGGAAGGCTACCCACCCTTCATGTGCCCCACTCACTCTCTGCGAGCTTGCTCCTCCAGGCATCTCTGATTCTCTCTCACTGTCAACTGCCTTTCCCACATTTTACTCACAATCTTTTCTTAAAGCATCTCTGTGTCCATTGATTCTGCTTCCTCTCAGCCTTGCTTGCTCGTGGCTCCTCACAGCCTCTCCTCTACTTCAATGCCTCTTTCATTCACATAATCTGAACAACTCTCACTGCAAACTGCCCCCTTCTCTCAGTCTTCTTAATTTTGACTGCTGAGAACTAGACACTGAAGCCAACTATCCTTGTCTGGAAAGGCTTTGCATGCCAGAATAGCACATGGACAGTGGCCAGCCTATACGTTTTGACTGCCCTCAAGTTAGGGGTCCTGACTGGTCTAGTCAGCCCAGGAGAGCTGTGGGCACAGCTAGTTCCTTGAGGAGTGGCTAGGGGCTTGGCTGGCAGGGGGACTGGCAAGAGTGAGAACTGGTCTCCCATCCACATCAGGTCAGGGAAACAGCACAACATGGCAGTGGCGCAGGATGGTAGCTGCATAGGGTGTCTGGGAGGCGGTATCAGGAAGAGATGGAAGGGCTCTTAGTAGGGAATGGAGAGTGTCTAGGGAAGGAGAGCAGACCATGAGTCATTGATGGAACATCGGCTGGGAACAGCCAGCTTCTCACAAAGGAATCACTGAAGCCCTCCAGGATCACTGCTCATTCTTCTGGTTGTGAGTTTCATGAAAATGTGTACAGCTTCACCGAGAGTTGAGATTTTTCTCTTCTAGCCTTGGTACAAAATCTGAGAATATGATGTAATTACGTATTTTCTCTCTCATACAAGTGTATTCTCACTAGGAAAAATTCAGACTTTACAGGTGAAGCCTTCATTCCTTTTCTCAAATCCTGCTTCTTCCCCAGAGAGCATTCTCAGTACCCTTCCTGACCTGTTTCTATGTGCATAGAGAGTCCCATTTTCTTGCTTTGAGTAAATAGACAGCCATACTTTGCAGTCTAGAACCATTGAAACCGAAGCAGATAGGTGAGATTTTTTTTTCACATCTCGGAAATAGCTGTAACCAATTTCCACTCACAGATACTGAATGCCAACAGAATATCTGCTAAACAATTAAGCAGATCATTCAAAGGTCAAAAGAATCATTTAGCCAAATGTGTAAAGAGGCACAAGGATGATACGGCCCCTGATCCCAGGAGCAGAGACATCCTGTGGCCTGGCTGCTGCCTGGTTTGGTGCTGTGAACTCTGCACACATTTTCCTGATAAACAGCAGCTGAATTGAACCAGAGTAGAGGTCAGGTCTACGAAAATGGAAGTTCCCTCCCCACAAACAACTCTAAAAACTCACACAGGATGAGCTTAGGAAAAGGAAGACCTAAATAAACAAATGAAAATTGCACTCCTTCTCCCCACAGTTGTTATTTCCACTCCAGCCTCATCACATAAACCTCTGCAAGGGAGAGTGGACTCAGGACTGTAACCCTGCACAGAATCCTTACCAATTTATAATTCAAACCTTCACGAATTAGGAAAAATTAGAAAAGAAAACCCAGAATTTCAAAATTCGCCCTTCTGAAGTGCAGTTGAATTACAAACTATATGTAGCAACTTGAATTACTCTAGTTAAGATGATGAGATTTTCTAAATGATTGGCAATTAGGGCATCGACTCGCAGTATTTATTTATGCATGTGGGCTTTTAACCTGCAACACCTCTGTGCTTAATCCAAAATCATTCAAGCACGGATTAAACTTGGATGGTAAACCACATGGAGGCAAGGATCCTGCTGCTTCAGGCCAGCATCCCTCCCTTGCCCTCCACACATCCACGCAGGGCACTGACTATATCTCGTTCTATAGACTTGCAACAAATGCATATTGACTGTTGAAAACACAACATGACGAGGTCCTGGAGCACAGGGATGAACGGGACAGACGAAATAGTTGCCTTTATGAAAAACTGACATGTCGGGTGACTGGGCGTGGCTGGGGTAAGGGGGTATAGCTCAGTGGTAGAGCACGTGCTTGGCGTGTACAAGGTCCTGGGATCAATCCCCACTGCCTCCGTTAAGAAAAAAAGAAAGAAAGAAAAAAAAAAGAACTAACATTCGAGTGCCTGGTGAAGACGAAAATATTGTATAAACAAATAATCATTTCAGATAGTGATCAAAGAATGAAGGAAATGTCACAAGCTACAGAGAGAGAATGACTGGGGGTGGGTGTATTTAGTCAGGATGGGCTGACAGGTCCTTCCTCAGGATCACATTTAAGCTGAGACATGAATGATGAGAAAGAACTGGCCAGGCAAAGACCTGCAGTGCAATTGGAGAAGCCAAACGGATCCAATTAGCAAATAATTAGGGTCTGCACTATGGGGTGACACCGCGGAGCATCAACATTCGGGGAGGGAAAGCTGTCTCTGGTGCGGGGGAGGAAAAGTGTTCCTTGACACTCTTAGGGTCCCTGGCTGGGTCTGAAAATTAAACTGACAAAGACAGGTTAACAGGAGAGAAGTAGGCAAGTGTATTTAGTGTCAGGAAATGAAGACCTGAAGACAGAGCTGGACTTGAGTATTCTAATGCTGGGTTTGAGAAGAGGGGACAGTCGTGGGGACTGTGGTCAGGGGGCAAGGGGTATGAGGTAAGCATTGTGAACTGGGGAAACTAGGCAAGGCCTGTCTGTTAGGATTCTTCTCGGCGTCTTTTTGTCTTGCTTCAGAGATAAGGATGTTCCTTACCTCCAGGTAGAGGGAGGGCATGTCTCACATGAGAGTTTTATGATCTGTTTCAGGAAAGAAGAGGGAGGAGCTCAGGATGACATTCCTGCTTTTGCCATTTTCTCAAACTCTTTCTGTTTAAAATATTCAATACACCTAGGAGCCATATCTTGAGGTACACGCCCTGAACCCATCACTGTCTCAGTATGTCTGTATCTGGTCTGGGTAGGATTTAAGGTGAGAGGAGACGGAAGGGCAGAGGACTGGCAGAGCAGAACTGGGGTGATGCAACCCAGGGAGCCCCAGGGGGAAGGTAAGGACTCTCTCCCTGTCAGACTGGTTCCTGCCTGGGAGAACCCCTTCCACTGTGTGCACTTCTGAAGTCTCTTGCTTCACCCTGGTTCCAGCTCTAAGGATGCGCACGAGTGAGTGTGGTCGCGTGAATGAGTGTGGTCAGAAGACGGCAGGGAGACCCTCCAGACTGGGGAGGGAGAAGCCCCCTGACATCCAGGAGGAGAACTTGGTGCTGCTCTGAGCTGGCCACACTAACAGCTAGGCTTCAGTGTTCTCTACTGAAGCCAAACAATCGCACCCCACAGCAGCATCAGACAAGGCTGCCCTGTGATGCTGATGGATCAAGACAAAAATAAGATCATTCAGTAACCATGCCTGAACGCAGACAAAACCTGAACCTCGTCCAAGCCAGGCATCCAGCATCCTTGCGTCCAGCTAGGAGGAGGGACGGTGCTTCTTTATCATGCACACCTTAGGCTCCCTCTAGGAGCCCTCCCCATACCTGACGTTATTAAGATACCCATCAGAGAACTCCCGGGCTTCCTGGCAGCGAGTGATCCAGAGCGAATCCAGCTCCCTTGACAGAGCCCTTCCAACGAAAGTGAGCACTAGCCCCAGTCCTGCATCTCTTCCAACTCCTCACACTGAGGCCCCGGGGGCCCCCACGGGGTGTGGGCTTCGTGCTGAGAGTAACCGTGGCAAACTGGGCTGGTGCGGAGTGTTGCCAGTGGGCTTTGCTGGCGGGGGGTGACAGAGGTGAGAAGGCTTCCGCTGACGCTGGTGGTGGAGAGAAGCAAGGTGGGGCAGTGGGACCAGTCCGTTTACAGGATTGAGCAAGCAGTCGGGCTCATTCTCAAAAGCTGCCCTGAGGCCCTGGGAAGGAAACGCATTGTCAGCCCTGCCTTGGGACTGCAAATAAAGGGATGGTGAAAGACTAAGGAGGCAAATGGGCAAATGTCAACCAAAATAAAGCAGTAGTAACAACTTTAATCTCAGACCAAAAAAACAAGGAACAAAGGGACAAAGACAGACCTGAACGGAATCTAGAGTACTGGAAAGCTGATGTGGCTGGTTGATGTGGGGTGGGGTAGGTGGCTTGAGCTATGAGCTCCTTTTTACAGATGGAAAAACTGAGGCAGCTAAGTGACTTCCCACACTTTGCACATGGACTGAGACAGGGCTCCTGAGTCTCTTGTTTTTAACATTAGCAGTAACTCCTCACAACCCTACACCCACCCTAACCACATTTTATGTTAGTAGAAAAATGAAACCATTTCTTGGTTTTTTTCAAAAGGTCATCTAATATGCACACTTCAATGAAAAATCTAATAAGTAAAACAGTTCTCTCTTTTCCCTTGAACTTAATCTTAGTATCTATTAAGCCAGCAGAGAAGGAGCATCTTTGCTAACTGCTCAATGCTGGGTCCTGTTTTTCCAGAAACACGAACAATCCATTTCCCACAACTCCCCAAGGAGCACAGCTGTGAGACAAGTCAACTGAGAAAGTTCCAGGGCTTCATTCAGCCCAAGTTCTGGGCACTTGTGCCTTGAGCCCTCCACCAGAGGTGTTGTTGACACGCAGAGAGGTCCAGAAGAAAGGCATGCTAAGAAAACCTGACCCCTGGTGGAAATGCAGTCCAGGGAATGGAATTGGTCCATCTTGAATTTTCGACTGGAATTTCCAAAAAGAAGACTGATTTTGTCACCAAACTGAGCTTGGATCCACTTGCATGCTGCACAGCAAAGCCAATCTACTGACATGAAGGAAAGTACAGTGTTTATTGCAAGCATCAAGAAAAGAGAGCAAGCATCTAGTGCTCAAAAGACGCAAACTCCTGGATGGTCTGAGGATCAGAGCCTTGAGAATGGGCTCTCCTGTATATTTCAGGTAATAGGCAACACTCTTTTACAAAAGGTGCAGAACCAGCATGACTAAGGATGGGAACAGAGCACAGGGTTACAGCTAAAGGAACAGACCTAATATGGAGTCAGATTTGTTCTTCCTTATTACAGTAACAGGGTGATGTTTTAAGAATTTTAATCATCAGCCTCTGGTTCCAACCAGTCTAGGGTCTACCTTGTGCTCAGCATGCTCATCCACCTGGATGGGGGTGTGGGGGAGTTCTAGCTTCTGCAGAACAACTCAGATATGTGTCAGATTGCTGTGTATGTCCCTCAAGGAGGAACTAGGACTCTGTTTTATCACTGAACTATTATTTCTTGATTGCTTTTCCTTTGTGTCTGCATTCCCTCACTTCCCTAATTAGTAACTGCTTCAGTCTGCTCTGTGGAACTCAGGAAAGACCCAGGAGATGAAAGTCTTTTTCTACAAACAAGAAATGGAGGACAAGGAGGAGCCTGCAGGGACCCCGGCTTGGTTTCAGTGTCAAAGGGAAATAGATGTTCCAGGAGTAGGTCACAGAGAAAGGCTTCTCTGCCTTGGAAAGGACAAGGCATGCTGGGCTGCGTCTCGTTTCTCTTCCCTCTAAGTCTCTCTGGTGCCACCTCTCCCTCCACCCTCAGGTTATTTGCATATGTGTGTTTCCCTGCCCTTCTAGACTGTCAGATCCCAGAGGCAGAACGCCTCGTGCTGATTCCCCGCTGTATTCTCCGTGGCACTACTCTAGTGCCTGGTGCCAAGTTGGTTCTTGGTCATTGACTGCCTGTCCCTGTATCTGAAAATGCACCAGAGAAACATTTCAAAAATAGTTGGCTCTCTCTGATGGGAGTTTTGCTGGCTAGGAAGGTGATGTAGGGTAACTTCTCAGCAGGGTTTGAATTTTGAGACCTCGGGAAAATAGCAGCAGGATTGGAAGAGAGGCACATTTCGCTCAGACACACTCTGTTATCTTTGTTTTACATTTAAATGAAACACTTGGGTCTACATAACATTTGGATGACACATGAAGGGCCATTTCCTCAGTGTGATTCGGGTTGTTGATGGGAGAGCTGAGGCCTCCTGGAGAAAGCTGTTTGTGCTACTGATTGGGGAAGGGCTGGCTTCCAGAGCGCAGTGAGCTCATTTTCCCGCGGAGAACTGATGAACAGTGCCTTTCAGGCATAGCCAAAGTGAGCTCTCTCTTCATAAAGTCTGATCCCCTGAGCTGAAGCTCGTGAGCTCTCATCTCAACTACACAGGGAGCAAAGAGATGTCCTCTGCCCTGTGTAGTGAAGAATTAACCTCCGTCAAAAGAGGTCTGGCCTTGTCCTCAGCTGCTGGGAGGTGATCTCTGAGGTCTTTCTTCTCTTGGGGGCAGTGGATCGTCTAACTGTGTGAGTTAGGGTGGGGGCGGGCCATGCCAGAAAGATCAGCCACCTGACTCAGGACCCACACTTGGTGGGGCACGTCCCAGGGACTCAACTGAGACCTGGGACACGGCCCTCCTCTCGCCCCACATTCTTTTTTCCTGTATCAAAACCAGACCCCAGGCTCTGGGAATAGGAAAGTAGTTTGTGCTCAGAAAGGGATCTATACTGACATTGAGAGGATCTAGGATGCTGGGGGAAGGGGCCAGGGGACAGCATTCTCCATATCCCCCTACAAGCCTGACAAAAATCTATCAATGGTAAGTTTACCAGTTAGCTAGAAATATTAAGGGAATAAATTTTGATGGATTTTAAGGGGCACCTGTACAAAAAAAGAAAATAGTGAACTAAACAGCACCAGACCAGGTTCTAGCTCAGGTTAACCTCTAATAACCTCTATGCATCTGTGTAACTCAGTCTCCTGTGCTTCAGTTTTCCCATCTGTGAAGTGGGAGTGATAGTCTCTGGTCTGATCACTTCCAAAGGTATTAGGAACAAATGAAATAATGTGTGTGAAAAAGTTTAGAAACCTGTGACATAATATTTATAGAAACGGACAATATTAATATTGTTGTCCCACGTGTAGCCATTTTATAGATGAGAGACTCAGAGGGCAGAAGTGACAAATATTGCAAGTTTATAGAACTGGGAATCCACGTCCCCTAATTTGCATGCTGATGATTTTTTAATGAAACTTCTCCGTACAAGAGCATTCCCTTGTCCAGAGGGCATGCTTTTGATGACCTCAACTGTTTAGACTAAGCACGGAGGTGCCTCCAAACAGAGAACAGCCGGCAGGGACACCACTTTCCAATGGAACCCTCCAACCGCACGGAGTGGAAATTAGCCTAAAATTAAGCCTACCCTTTTAACGGTTTATTATTTATCAGAGTAGAAGCTCCAGAATAAGTGAGGTAGAGTAGCTGGAGGATAATAAACAGATGTGATGCCGAGAAGATGACAGCAGGGACAGCAACTTCAATTAGAAGTCAAGCAGCCCAGTGCAATTTAAAAGCATTGCTATGGTCTCTGTCATGATGTGCTGGAGTCATTAAAAGAGGTTTGAATGATATTCAGTTTGCCCTGAAAGAAGCCAAAAGAAGGAAATAAAAGATGTGCTTAATGAAGAGACAGAGACATAGCTATCATTTTGTTTGATGATTTATTTGCCTATAGAGAAAACTTCAGGGCATCAACTAAAAACCTGTTAAAATAACACCTTAATTCATCTCAGTTTCCTCATGGTTGTGAAGATTAGCACTTGCACGTGGCCTGGAACATGACAGATCATTGACAAGTGGCAGAGAGTACATACAAGCTTCAAATTAAAAAGTCTAGTGTTCTCGCTTACATCAGAACTTAACAATTAGAAACCATAAAGGGGAAGAAAAGGATACCTTCGTAATAGCAATAACAAGCCCCAAATCAAAAATCCCAAGAAAGATACAGAAATATGTAGCACTTATATGAGGAAAATGATAAAACTGCAGAGGGAGAAAACAGATTTGAAGAAATTGAAAAGTATACTAGATACTGAAAGGTGAAGTAAGTCATCGTAGAGAAGTTACTTTTTCCAAATTAACTTATATACTGAGAGTAATTCCAGGCAAAATCTCTACAATTTTTGGAACTTGGCAAAATATCTTAAAATTTCATCTGGAATCATAACAAAGTATACTGAAGAATATCTGTGAAAAAGAAAGGAAGGTAGGGATGGTCCTAACATACAGATTATATTATAGAGTACAGAGGAGGAGAAACTTTTGTCTACCCTCTTAGGTTCTGTGCCTAGGCCTGAGAATTAAATTGACATAGACAGCAAAAAAAAAATACAAATCTTATTTACTATTTTTACACACACATGGGAGTCTCATAAAGAAAAAGAAGCAGTTAGGACTGAGAACATATATACTTTTAAACAGAGAAACAAGAAATGTGTGGATAAATGACAAGACAAACGGATTTGGGCTAGGGGTAATAAACTGTGGGAAAGTGATCAGGAAATATATGGGGAAAATTAATGGAAGATCAGGGTTATTTTAGGAGGTTTGTACAGATCCATTTTGGTATTGACTTCCAGTCTTCCGAAGTAAGAAGGGTGTTTTCTTCCTGGTAGAGTAAGGGCACCTTTCTCTTGGGAATTTATAACCTGCTTTAGGTAGAAAGGGGGAGAGCATGGAGCCCCGCCTACATCTGGGTTTCTCGAATGACTTCAGCTCAAAATAGTCAATGCACCAAAATGGCATATTTGGGAATGACATATTCTGAGCCCCTTCGTCGGCTATAATGATTAAATCAATACAGGATGAGTGTGAACCTATTCAGACTGAAGGAACAGACAGCTCAGAAACAAATCACAGAATTTATTTCATGAAAAATGAGGCATCACACATCAACGGGGAAGAAACTTTACTTAATAAATGGTATGGGAGAAATCGTCAATTAGTTGGGGAAAAATCTATTTTGATTCTTGCTTTATATTCTATACTAAAATAAATTCAATGCAAATTAATGGAACTTAAATTATGGGCAATCTTGCTTCTTCATTCAGTGGGAAAACTGTAGGCATTTCAGATACACACCGCCCCCTCTACTCGCTAGCCAGCCTTTCTGACCCTGTACTCTGCCTTTCCTCGTATTATTTTATATTGTTTTTAAAATTAAATTATAGTCAGTTACAATGTGCGATTTCTGGTTTCCTCTTATTA